GTTGTCGTGCTCGCCGTCGATATCGTAGCTCAACAGAATGACGAACCAAGTCTGCTCTGGATGAGTCCCGAGTTACCCTGCGAATGACTGAGCCCTTCGATTGTTAAGCCTGCGTCTCAAGACTGCACCAATAATGAAAGAGTTTCGGACACGGACCGTCATGTACACGGATCTAGTGGACCTTGCTTAAAGTAAGTGTCTGCAGAACTGCCGGGCAAGCAACGTTAAGATGGCGAAGTATTGTATCAGGAAGCATACACCCGGATGAAGAACATGCAAGAACATGCAACATACTCACGGGATCTCACGGGAAAGAACACTGGACTCAGCATGTCGCTACAGTGGATTTGGTTTCGAACCCCACATCATTTCGAACCCCACATCCCCGAGCACCGCACACTGTGTTTAAACTATCCTCCTCTGACAGAGACAGAGAGACAGGGACAGAGACAGAGAGAGAGAGAGAGACAGAGAGAGAGAGAGAGAGACAGAGAGAGAGAGAGAGGCAGAGAGACAGAGAGACAGAGACAGAGTACATCCTGCAACACGATCTGTAGAGTCCTTCATATTCCGAAACAGACAGGCCAGAACCATGCAAAGCGCAAAGGTCAAGTGCAAACAATTCGCTCATTCCGCCTGCGGGGAACAACATCGTGCAGCTTCGAATCTTTTGCTTCGCAGTCCTGCCGGCCAAACTTACGAGAATCGAAGCCATGAATTCTGCAGGAAGCCCCACATCTATCGCGGAATAAGCATGACCATGGAAACCACAAAAGCCAAGAAATCCAACTTGGAGTTCGCATTGCTGGGCTCGTTGAAGTTGTCAGTCTGAACCTCTCCGCCTGCACCTTCGGACTCACAGAGGCGCCTACACGTATAGCCACAATCCTGTTCAACCCGGACGACAGACTGCAAGCAGAAACCTGGACTCGCATCATTTTTACCCCTCTAAGGCCTCTGAGAATGTCCTCAGTCGCAAGCTGCCGACATCGGTCCTTCAGGGGTCAGAGGATAGGTGTTGCAGATCTGGCGGCCGCTGCGAACACCGAAGTCAAAATGCTGCGTGGGTAGGACGTCGTATTGCTTCCGCAGCCCTAGACCCTAAACTCGATCAAGTCCAACTAGTCGCACTGAGGCTTGAAATCGCCAACCAAGGAGGCGAAGCCGTGGGAAAACACCAGCTTTGTACAGAGATTAGCAGAGTCGCTATTGGTACCCCTTGCAGTTGTATTTCCACTCTAAACTCACTTGCCTATGGATCAAATCGGAGGCCCCGCCTCAGCTCAGCATCTCCTGCCGAGGAAGCTGGAGCTTGGGAGTTGGTCTGTTGCACGCTTTGAAGGTCCGCCTTTCACTGCCACTCCGACGCCGAGACCTAAACTTAACAGCTCAGGAAACTCAGCGTTAAGCTCCAGCAGTCAGATCAGAGCCTGAGAAGTGAAGCTCTCTGATGCACTAGATTCCGTCTGCTAAAACAGAACGACCACCACGACTTCCGGTCTCGTTCGGGAGGGAGATGGAGGGGCAAGGGGCATGAGCCTGAACTATTTTTTCACATAAACATGGAGCCGCCAACGCCTGGGCAAAACAAATAAATCATCGTATCGAACCGGGACAAAACATCTAACTCCCAATGCCTAAACCTACAAACCCCAAAAAACCTGGAAACTCTGCCCACGGTCAGCTCTGTGCCTTTTTTGGAGGGGGAGTTCGGGCGACTGTTGTGCTTTGCGCTTTGGGCTTAGGTCTTGGTCCTGGGTCTGCTATGGAAGCGACCGCTGCCAGCGTCATGATGTCCCGGCTCTGGACCCTAAACAATCTTCTTTCCGAACAGCCCTACTGTCCAAATCCCGCCGGTCGAAAACCTCATCTGTTGCTGCCCCCCCTGCTCCAAAGCCTGAATCTTGATTCCGACTTTTGGCAAGGATCTGAATGTATTCTCGATCCCAGACAGGTCACTGGAGTCTTGCCATGCTTCTGTCTTGAACATAGCGGCTTCAACTGGGCAGAGCAAGTGCAGCGCAAGGACCCAAAGTTATAAAGTTCAACATCCCGAACACGAAGGAACAGCCTCTGCAAAGTTCCTTAAGCTAACAAGCTTAGACCGACTTAGACCGAAACAAAAAATGGCATGTCTCCGACAACTGAAATCAAGATGGACCTCACTCAACGGAGCTGGAACCAATAACAGACAAGAGCTTGGGAATCACAGGAAGCTTTGGGCGGGAACATTGAACGTCGCCCGTCCTTAGCAAGCTTGTAAGCCCAAAACTCAATACCCTGAAGCACAACTAGCAAATCCTGAAACCGGATGCGCCCTGAGGCATCTCGGGCACATCTTGGCCGACACAAGCGTTCAGTCGCATTGAATAGGCTCCACACGCTCGTTGCCAAGACCCGTCTCCAACAGCTGCATCAGGGCCTGTTGTAGAGCTACCGGTCCCTGCAACCACGCCACAGGACTTTGGGGCCTTTGTTCAGAGTGCCCACCGTTCGAGAGTGCACTGTCTGACCAATTGCAAGCTCCTGAACCAATCCAACACCCGGAAAGATTGTGGCAATGCACATCAACTCACGCAGAGTCCCTAGATCCCTAGAGAGCTTCTCGGCTCATTCTCTTGTTGTCTACTCAACTTGTCCCGAGATGTTCTGCTCTGATGTGTCGCCGGGTGTTGTGCCTGCACTCCACGCCCCTAAACTCAACAAAACTCCAATGCATTCCATGGGCATTATGGCCAATATCCCGTTTTCGAAGTCTTGAGTTCGGTGTACGTGCATTCAGGGGCTTGGACTGGGCTTGGCTATGGGGGTTTCGGAGAAGGGGGCTAGGCTATGGCGATAGTTTACAAAGGTGTCGGGTTCCTTCAAACTTTCCGAGTCTGACTAGCCTGAACTGACCTGAATCTTGAGCCGACAGCACGATATGAAGAACCTTCGCCGATGAAACCCAACATGACTTACAGCGAACTCCAGCGATCAAACGTTGGAGGAGCTCGGTCTCCGGCATCGAAGCAACCTTGCCTGGGCATCGCAGCGACATGGGGACTGAGACGATGTTTCCGGTGTTGGTTTGCACAATCCTAGGCCCAAAACCTTTGACCTGCGAAACTGTTCAGGGTTCTGGAGATCAGGCTAGAGCCTGTCCTCTAGTAACTCTAGTGTGCTGCCGGTGTCAACGACATCCGGATGCATTCGCCGGGTAGCTGACATCAAGCGCATGGAACAGTTACAGCCTCAAAGCACCGGGCTTGAGGGACTACACCCTGACACCTGTCAGAAACCCTCCAAAAAGCTAAACACAGCACCCAAACCCAGCCCAAGGCTTTCCAACTTTATTTGTCTCCCAAACTTGCCTGTCTTGGGGGCAACGGACCTCCGGCTTCGCCGCAGTCGGTTTATCAACTGCGAGAAGAACTTGCTGAACCCTAAACCCTTTGAAATGCTAGCGCATGAGACAACAGTCTGGAGCCTCAAAGAGAGCCCTCAACTTCTCCGGCGGCTGCTCTTCTTTCGAGGTGTGGTGCAGCTTAAACGGCTACGGTGCTGGAAGCAGGCGTTAGGACCTGGGACTACACTTGACGACTCCAAGCCTCCTTCTGAATGGCCGATCTTGTATATAGTATATACTATCAGGACGTTAAGGGTTGAGGGTTGGTGGCCTTTAAAACCCTCGTCCATGGCCTAGACCGAACCAAGAAAAAACACACTGTGCTTCTTAATTCTTGAATGTTCTAAATCTCTTGGGGGAAGTTCTAGGCACAAACCAACAAAAGACCTTTCGGAGACCCAATGGGTGCTCTGGCCATGGAGAGGCAACACTCCAGCATTGCAGCACATAGTCAAGCCCCGAAAATCTCGGCTGCGGGCTTCTCGTACTGAGCGATGACCTCCTCCAAGTGATCTGGATGGACCTGAGCCACGCACGCCTCCACAAACATGCAAGTTGCACTTCATCTGCAACAAGGCATTAGTCAAGGCTCAAATCACTGGAAGGGCGAAGAAGGCTTCTGCATGTGCGGAGATTCGCTGTCTAACTGCTCGTGGTGTAAGCCCCAATGTCCCGAGCCCAAGCCAACCTCGAATTCGACTTCTTAAGCACCCGGCGATGATGTGCTGCCCTGCAATCTCTGCACCTCAGCATTCATGGCTTGCACTTCAAGACTCGTGGGTCTGGAGTAGCTTGGGGCTGGAGGAGTCGAGTTGAAGGCTCATGGCTGAGGCACCTCTGCCAGGCATTGCCAGGCTATTCATGCAAATGAGACACGACTATAGACCGACCAGACAGGGCCGCAGCAGCCGGCACCCAGCAGATGCGCAAACACGTCTCCCAGCAACAAAACATACCGTGGCATTCAATGGAAGAGCCGGCAAGCAGTGACACTTCGGTGAAGCTCTGCTGCCCGATGCACCGTCGTTCAGGAGACCCCTCTCCTGGTTGCTCAGGATAGCGAAAGCATGGGCTCCCGACAGCGGAACTGCTCCGCCTTGACGCAGGCCAGGTTCACCTGTGACACAATCACCAGGCTCCCTGCATCCCATTTACCCTTTGTGACTCAGACTCTACAAGTCTGAGCTCGAAGCTCTGACCGAACCTACAGGACAACCCATGTCCAGTTCATACGCTGAGATCGCTTTTGGATGCTTTTGGTATAGGCCCGCGAAACTGAGCTTCGTCCTCCTGCAGTACCGAATCAAGAGGGTCTTATCACGCTACTTCAAGCTGCTCAATTGTTGCCCGTTCGATGCTATAGGAGCGTCGACTGTAGGTTCCATGCGGACTCGGGGATTAAAGGCTGCGAGCTTGCTGTTTCTGCCGAGAATACAAGACATGAAGCCGTCACGTCTTGGGCGAACATCCATCAAGCAAGCCTCGACAGCTCTTGTTCCCTGCCTCGAAGCCCCATCGCATTCACTGCATGCAAGCTCCGAAAGAAAATTTCAGTGCAGACCCCAAGCAAAACGATGGCTTTTTAGCTGAAGGCTAAGTTTTGCCAGGAAGCCTCCTGCCATGTCTTGGGGTTGTTCGCCTTCTTCGCCGCCTCGACCGCCTGGCCAAAGGGCCGTCTGGGGATGCCGGATGCATCGCTGGCTGCGTGACCGCTTTATGCAGCCTATGACATGTGAGCGTCTTGGGATCTTTCCAAGTTCAGGCGTTGAGGCTAGAATTGTTGAGAGGTCAGGGCTTAGGGCCCAAGCCGTCAAAAGGTGTGGTAGTGGGTTGAGCTCCTGTCGGTGTCATATTCTTGTGAGTCCACATGCTTGCATGTTGGTGCTTTCTGAGCTCGGCTGGGATTGGGGCATACACATCTAAAGCCCTACACCTACAGACTCTAGCTAGTTCGAAGAGTCAAAGCCATAACTATCAGGCAGGTAGGTTGCACCAAGCTGATGCAAAGCAGCACAGTTTCATTTGCGGGGTTGCAAGGATGCAAAGTAAGTGCCTAGGTTTACCCCTAGGTTTAGGGTTGAGGGTTTCAGGATTCAAGGTTTGGGCGTGGAGTTGAGGGTACCTAAAGAGACCAAGAGCAAGTTCTACCAGGTCCAGGGTAGAGCGGTGACCGCCAGGTAGGTTATCGGCTTCGGGAACCCGGGCGACCCCTACAGGATCCGTGACACAGTCGTTGTGCTTCTACTTCTTTCCTGGAGTGGATCGGGAACGCCTTAATGAGCAAAGGGAAAGTCCAAGAAGCTCAATCCGTCGTGCATCCTTTGAAAACTACAATCTGTTTCCTGGCGTGATCCTGTAAACCTGATTCGAAACTACAAGCCTGCAACAACAAAGCCTGCACCACACGGGATTTGTGCCGAATCAGTTTCCCAACGACAGGAGTTTACTGTACACAGGTGAGCGTCCCCCCGCACCTGTGTGTACTCTCCGAGCTGCACGTGGCCTGGGGTTTGGCATTTAGGGTGCAGCATGGCTCGTAACATAGAGGTTCAAGCCCCTGAACTTGAAGCTTGAGGCATAGGTTGAAAGTTGAGCGTGACACCGCAAGCCCAAAATCGTGTCTCAGACTGGGATCAAAAATGTAGGCTTCAAGCGAGGCTTCAAGCGATCTCGAGCTGAAGACCACAACGTCCCAAAGCGGCCGGAAGCTCCCGAAAGCCGTTCAGGAAACTCCTCATGTTGATCCCAGAGCCATTCAGCCGGCTGACTGCTCGACATTTAGGTAGCTGCGGTTAAACTCCTTCCGCCATAGATGCTTTAGGCCGCGGCAGGAGGCTAGGCGTCCGTTGTTCGGAATCGAGGCGTACAGGATCTTGGCCGCCTGGGCTCCCCACGGGTTGACGGGTTCAGGTCTGAACATGCTGGGAATGGGCCGAAGCACTGTCGTTCCAGGCTACTCTGCGACGACGACGAGAGCGAGAACGAGAAGGACGAAGAGGAGGACAGGCATGAGCCTTGATTTTGGGGCTCGAGGTGTTATGATCTGCAGTGAAGCTCCGAATCGAACCAGCCCCGGGAACCGCGAAGGACCGAACCGACCCGCAAAACCGAACCCCTGCAAACCGAAGCATTTGATCCGAACCGCAAAGGAAATATGGACGAGACGCATCCCATAAACCGAATTTAGTACTTCAAAAGGTGGTCGGTGATCCGGTGTCGAGAGTCAGCTTATGAAACCCCAATTAAGCTGCTCAAGACCAAGCCCCAAGTCACCCCACCCAGGGCAGCCTTGTAAAACTTCTCGTCGTAGAGGCGATCGCCGACAGACTGGATGTTGGCCTTAGCAGTTCCAACTTCAGCCCGAATCCCGACAAATCCCTGCCAAATGACAAGGCCCGCACGACGATACATGATTTCCGCATGGACCCTCAACAGTGGAAAGGCCCCATAGTAGTCCGAGCCCGACATTCACAACAAACATTCCGGGAGCACCGCTGCGAGCTTACAGGTCCCGGGACTGCGCCGAGATAACGTTCCTGGACGATGTAGAAAATCAGCCACTCGGGGCTCCAAGCAAATCGAAGTGCGGAACGTGAGCGGCACCGTGGCGGAGCTGGATTTGCACCCCAAATGCTCTTGGCCACAGGGCTAGCTGGCTCCAGAAAACACCATTTAATGTTGGGTTGGGCGGGCGGCGTTTTTAGGCAGATGCGAGAAGGCAAGTCGGATTCCGAACACCTGGATAAATCACATGTTTACCTCGGGCTTCTCATGCAGGGGCCCTGTACGCGCATATTTGGCAGAGATTGGGTGCTCTGCTTGCCTCCGGACACGAATTTAAAAGAAGCCTGAACCCAACCTAATGAGCACTTCTCCGGCTTCTCACCCCCTTCGGACTTGGGCTTGGGAGAGAAGAAAGAAAATGTCTTTCCCTCGTTCTCTCCACGAGCGTCGGGAGATGGTCAAGCTTCGGGTCCGAGACGTTAGGCTTTGGCTTCAATGTGATCAGGCTGGGTTCAGGGCTCAGAATGCCGGATCGTCGCGATGGTTCGCGCGCGTGTACTATTGAATTGCTGTCGGCTCCATCAACCTGAGAATGCGGAAAATGCGCGGTTCGAAAACCGAACCAATTCTAAATGGTTGCTGCAGGCGACATGTCGATGCCGCTACTTGTGCCAATGCATGCGGGTTGTGCCGCTTCTGATCCAAGTGATTTCTGGCAACTCCCCACCATACCATCCACGACTGTCCACCCCTCGGCCACAACCGGCCTCCGCAGAGGAAACGGAAAAGTCTCTGTTGGGATTGCGCGTCAGCTCTGGGCGCAGTCTCGGCAGATCTTTCAGGACATCAAATCTGCCTGCACCTCTCGATCTAGCACTTTCGTTCCATTGAACGATCGTTCGTGCATGTCAGGAGGCACATTTTCTCGGAAGATGGACCGTCGATATTCTTACCCAAAGTTGGTGGCTGTTCTTGCAATTGTTTTCTTCTGTAAGCGTGCCCCTCAGTGGTTGCAGTTCCTGAGTCCTGCTCCACTGTCAGTACTCGCCTGCTTCCAATTTACGGCTCCTACATGGGCTTCTGGATCCTGCTTGCAACCAGGGGGCGGTGTTGGTGCCGCTGATGAACTCTTCCATCTCGCCCTAAGTCGCACCGGCGTTAGGGCTCGGCTAGGTAAATGGTAAAGCCGACAGTTCTCTGACAATTGCCGACCAGAACCATTGATTGCTGGATAGAACAGAGACATCATCAAAACCCTGGGAACCACTTCGATGACTGGCAGGGCCCCCTCAACCGACTTTAACAATAAAGTGTCCGGACCGCAGAACCCGGAATCCCGATCTCGTAGCGAACGGCCCACGCCGTGTCATGCCGATTTAAGGACTGCAGAGTCCTGGGCTTTAAGCTCTGCAGATCGGTACTGCGCCATGAGAGCAGCTAACGCACAGGAGGAGGTTGAGGCTTCTGGATTGAGGAGGCCTCTACTCGAGGTGCCCCTCAGCATAAGGAGGTCCACGGACTCCGTTTACTTTATCGAAGTAAGTTGACGTTTCGGTTCGCGGGGTGTGATGCTTCGGGCATGGGGTCTTCGGCTACGGAGTCTCATAATTCAGAGCATTGGGACACAACCACGCACCACAGCTGTGCGTGTTTTGATACAAGCACTCGCGCTTTAAGCCTGTGCGAGGTCACAAGCCCAGGACCCGAAAGGAGGCTCAGCCTATTGTCGGATCCCAAACTTCCAAAGCACCACTTCTGGCCCCCGCTACTGTTCAAATGCTAGAGAGAGTCCCTATGAGGTTACCGGATAAGGACAACCAATTAGGATTCACAGTGGTCCAGATTTCGCACGTCGGCATGCTGCGGCTTAAGGTTGGGTAGTAGACCCAGTTCCACTCGGCAGTTGAAGTGAATCGGCATAACTGAAACGCACCCGGTCCCTGATTTCAGCTTGGTTCGGGTTGGGAGCTGGCTGACCCAGCCAAAAAAACTTAAGGCCCTGAACATCTTCAAAGCTGGCGGCTGTGAAATTAACATGGCATTGACCTTTCCAAGGGCTCTGAGACATGGGCTAACCGCTCCGTCTTGGCATACGCGTAGACAAGCTCACCTCCATGGCCATCGCAGCTAGTGCCCCATGTTGAAAAATTCACACTTCATAGGAGCACCAGTGCCCTTTCCTCCCCGGAAGACCAACCCTTTTCCGAAAATCGATTGCCAGATCTAAACCCCCCTCCGATGTGAAGTTCAGTTCTGTGACTGTTTATCGTATGCATGTTGCTCTTGCTGCTCCTTGTTTTTGCTGCAAGCGCTGCTGGTCCCCTGTGTAGATCCTTGCCTCGTCGGGCCAGGCCGAGCCCCGAAGCCCCAAACCCGAATGTGCACCGAGGCGCCATCGATCTGCGAGTCCTTCACCTTGGTGCGGGCCATCATCAAGTAGCGGACCAACCTTCGTTGGGGGCTTGGGGGGCTTTCAAACTCCATGCTCGTGATCTGAGGAATTGGCGGAACACGATTTTCGCTCGAGGGCGCAGGGCTTTCGAAACGGGTTGACTTTGCTACACAGAAATATCTTCAGGCTTATGACTTACGCAAGTCTTCCTGCTTCAAGGCATCATCTCATGATATACTTCCTGCCAGTCGATCTCATGGTGGTTAGAAGGGATGGCCTTCCAGGGTTTGGGATTGACGACTTCCTTTGGGATTCAGGCTTGGCTGGGTTGCTCGAGGCGTTGTGGCTGGTTTTTCCGATTCAATTAGGGGTTTTTGGGGTTCCTTCACGCTTGTTCGGACTGGGTGGTGCTACATCTTGGGAATGCAGGCCGTTGGAAGGTGCTTGAAGGGTTCAGCACAGGAACTGTGCAGTGACCGGCTTGCAACAGCTTGTCCAAGATAGAGTGGCTTTTGGAGAATTGACAGAGTTATTCGCAAGAGGGCACTCTGGAAGGGACCCTCCTAAACAGAGCAATGTGAGCTAAATCTTGAATCCTACATCTAATCCACAGCTGTCATTGGTTCTTCGGATCTGGAGACGTCACCCTCAACGACCAAAGCTGCTACTGCGAAAGCGACAGCTGGCCACGGCACCGACAACAACGCACCACAAAGTTCTCATTTTAGAGCCAAAGCCCAGAAGCTCCGCAACTTGAAGAGTTGGCTCAGGCACTGGCTCCTCATAGTTTTCCTCTCTCTCGGCAGCCTGCAACTGCGGAGCTCCCCATTGGGCATTAGGCTTGGTGGTAGTCTACAAGCACTCCTGCTCATGGCAATATTGGATCTGGCAGGGACAGCAGCAAGACTCAGCAGCAGCGCAGCCGTCGCTAGCAACAATAGCAATCGTAGGGTACTAGTACAAGTACTAGGCCACTAGGACTAGCAGCAGCAGCCGTAGCAGCAGCTGTAGCAGTAGTTGCTAGTGGTGGCGATAGTAGCATCGGTAGTAGTAGCCGCCGTCGTCGTCTTAATCCAACACCTATTGCGACTCTATGAACAACGAGAACCTTGAGGGCCAGTATCAACCTCAGCTCACACCACCTCACTTTTAAAGCGCCATCAGAATCAGAACCCATTTCGTCAATACGATCATGGCTCATCCTCGGAGGCGTTCTCGTCATGAAAACATACCCTGGCACCAGCCCCAAAATGGCCCAACAGAGAAGAACCTACTAGGACCAAGTACATTGCAACGTTTGGACCAAACCGAGGACCTCCGCCCAACCAGTGCAACGAGGCTACAAGCTGATCAAAAGCAGCAAACGTTTTCTCTTTTCGCACGCCTGTGGCGATACGGTTCCTCTGCGCATCAGAAGCAATCGCGGCATTGAACCGAGCACCGCTTGAATTGCAAAACCAGACCTGTCATTGCGTTTAGAGCCCCAGCGACTGTAATCTCCAAGTATGTCTGTGCCCTGACACTCGGTGCAAACCTTCGACCCTGCTTGAACATACTCACTCCCTTCATCACTTCACTCTCTCTCCCTCTCTCTCTCTCTCCGTTTCTCGCTCTGTTCCCTACCTTGGCAAACTTGCACAAATGCATATGCAGGCGTGTGCCTTTCTAAGCGTCTGCTTGTCCGATACGTCGCTGCCGACCATGTGCTTGTACAAGCTGGGGTGTATGATTGAATGGGTGCTTTCATATTCCAGCACTTCATGTGTGGAGGTTTCATACGTTCTAGCATATGCCCAAAAACCTTTAAAAAAAACCTGCATACAACAACGTCCATGCGCACGTCAGTGATCATGCATCACGGCATAACCACGAAGGAGGCAGGCACCAGGTTGGATACATACACACATACATACATACATACATACATACATACATACATACATACATATATACAACAGACGGACGGACGGACGGACAGACAGACAGGGTACATACATCCATACATACATACATACATACATACATACCTACATACATAAATACAGACAGACACAGAGAGAAAGACAAACAGACATACATACAAACATACATACATACGATACCCATACATTACATACATTGCGTACAGTGCATGCAGTGCACACAGTGCTTACATTACATATTACATGCACTACACACATTATATACATGGCGTTCCTTACATGCCTACGTTACATACGTGAGTACCTTACGTACACTATGTACCATATACTTTACAGCAAGTCTTTGCATCACGTACATTACACAACCTACATGACATACATTATACACATAACATACATGTAATCACAAGCATTACAAAACAATGCATACGTACAGTACAACGCAACACACAACACAAAAGAAGAAAACACTTTGTATACAGATGATACAATACAGATGATGCAAAACAATGCAGTACGATACGATACAAAACGATACAGTAGTATATCATACTATACCTTACAGTACGTGACATTCACACACTCACTCATACACACGCACACACACACACATGTATATATATATATATTATATATATATATATACTCACGCACACATACACA